AGTATTTTTATGTTTTCGTTCGTAATAGTATGTTTTTTCGCTATCATTTATGTATGTATGAGGGCATGTTCGTGTGCATGTATGTATGTGTGTATATATTTATGAAAGGTGATATGAGGTGTGAGCAGATTGAAAGGTGGCAAATGGATGAGATACCTTAAAAGACATGATGGAGAAGATGTTAAACCAAACCGCCCTCCAACAAGTAACTGTACACTTGCCTAAATGGCTGGCTTAGAGTTGACCCTTTGCTGGCGACCACCTTCTAGGGGTGGGGCGAGTTCGGACATGGCTGACTGGTACATGCGGATTCGGGGCCTGCGTTAAGCAAGTCGCCGGAGGCAGAATGACGTGGGAAGTGCCTGGCAATGGCCAGCCGGTGCGGGACTCGTGTGGGCGTGAGGACGGAGTCCTCTTTATGGCTGGACAGCCAACAGCAGATTCACACTCCTGGACACTCTAACGGTACAGGTCCAGACATGCGGCCGATCCGTGATGGAGGAGGAGACGTCGAAAGCTGCATCACAGACAGGACCATTTGAGGTGACTGGCTGGGGCTGGCCGAATGTCATTCAGCAACAGACCGACTTAGATATGACTCTTTCGGTACTATGATTTGTAGGCGAGTCTATGAATCTGCACTGACGCTACCAATGACTACTCCGTCTGGCGGCAAATATGCCGAACAAATGGTCACATCACAAAGCTTAGTGATCCGGAGGTCTACTCGAATTCCAGTCGTGGCAGCATCAGTTGAGATGGGATTTCTCCTGAATTTACACACTCGGACTATACATTAAGACTTTGGTTTATGCTGGACTAGTTGTACCAGGCGAATTGGCATAGCAACTTGCCGTCCTGGAGACGGACCTCACATCATAAGCATCAAAAGCAAGACAACAAGGTTTTGTAAGACAATGGAAAAAAGGGTTTAGAGATAGGCTTTCTACAACATTTTTCGAGTAGACACAATAGAAGACATGTACAGTTGACGTCTACTGCTGCTGAGCAAGTAGTCAGCTGATTAAGTACCAGGTTGTGATTTATAAAATGTTCTCATGTAGTTTATTTGAAGCCAAATAAAGTTGGATACACAATTTGAGAAATGTTCTCCCAAATGACTACTATTTAAAAATAGGAGACACACGCGCAGAAAATTAGTTGGACAGGTTCTACAGGTTAAAGTGATTCGGATTCTAAGTCATCTACATGCCAGGACGCAGACCTCTCCCTCTTACGCTGAACATCCAGATGACATTGCTAAGAAGGGTAACTGAGAAACCAGTAGACATTTTGGCAAAATATTTCGATACTACTTATTAGACAGAATTAGCATTTAGGGTTGACAACCACATAGGCTAATAAACAAGGGACTAACAGAGTTTTATGCATTTCTTTCGACTTAAATAGAGGGCCACCTTTTTAATCCAAAGACTAAATTTACGTCCGCCTCCCACCGCCGACTGCAGTTTCAGCCTGGCTTATGTCTCTAGAACTCCAAATAGGATTCGAACTTACGGCTTTTTTTGACGTAGGTGAGGTACAATTGCAACGAACGAGCTTAGTTTCCATGGGACAATGGCATGGCTTTACTGGCAGTTGGCAGAAATGGATGGTGCAAACTAAATTAGGGGCAAGTTGTTAGGTTATAATGCTTATTTTAAATAAATACTGTGTTCAGCCTATTTTATTTAATATATGCGAAAAAAAGTTGGGTTTCGAGGAATTTCTTGTTTCATAATTGTTCAGCTTACTTCCATTTCGAGTGAAAGTGTTGCGTGAAGAGATTCAAA